GCACCATTCCTTTCCCCACCGTCCCATCCCAAATCCTTATCCCGATCCCTTCCCAGTGCTATATAGTCATAATGGCTTGGCGCTTCTCCTGATAATTCCTTCCTTCCTGCTGGAGGCATCGGGGGTGGGGGTGGGGGGTAGAGGCCCCGGGGGGGGGGGTCTGGGGAAGAAGGGGGGGGGGGAACTGGGGAGTAAAATATCATGAATACATATTGCAGGTTATTATTGGCAAAGATAGAATTTTTATCGTACGGACTTCAGTTAAAATATATATATATTGCAGTAGGAAAAAAAACAAATAATTCCGAATCCGCGTAATAAGATATTTTAATATTCGTCATGACTGTTCCACTGATATATAATGTCTTGAAGTACTGATATAATTCATGCCAAACCCCCTCTAGCAAACCATGCTGGGTACGTACACAGTTGCAGTTACTGTTAAAAGTTTAGCGTATCAAGCCGCAAACGTCTGGCCTTCAGCATCGAACAGACATTTTGACTAGAGACATAGATGCTTTTATATTTAAAAATCATCATATCTATGCTCTCTTTTTCCTGTCCTTGTTCCCCTGCCTTGCTCTCTTATCCTTCTTGTCACTTCCATCTTCCAACCACCTCCCCATGACCTCTGTTGGGCACCATTCCTTCCCTCCCCCGTCCCATCCCCATATTCTTATCCTGACTCCTTCCAAGTGATATATAGTCGTAATGGCTTGGCGCTTTCTCCAGATAATTCTCTCTCTCTCTCTCCCTGACCTCTTCTCACCTTCTCACGCTCCTCCAACTACTTTCTGCTTTCCTATTTTATTTTTCGAGTTGCCGGATTCTTTCACACCCATTCTATCGTATCTATCCATAACTCCTCGCTCGCTCTCTCTCCTCTCTCACCATCTCTCACCATGGCAGCTCGTACCTCTCATTATATTTCTCATAACAATCCTTCCTTATCTCACTGCCTCCTAAACCCGACGATTCTCCTCTATTCTGCCATATCTATTTATGCTTGCTTCCTGATTTCTTAACTTGCTATATACTACTTCTTCTTCCTCTCTTCATCACTTTCCCTGGCTGCTTTTTTTTCATTATTCGCTAGTGAAGTACCTCTCTCTCTCTCTCTCTCTCTCTGCTTCTCTCACACCAGAGTGTGAAGGAGGCTTCTGTCACTCCTGCTACACTCTCACACGCACCCCTCTCTCTCTCTCTCTCTCCCTCTCTCATGCACTCACACACTCTTTAGCTAAACTTTTCTTCGCTTTCTCGTACATGTTTTTTTCTCTCCCTGTCTATACTCATCCTTTCTATTCGCTTCCACATATTTAATGCTCTTTAAATTCGTTTCCAGTTCTTTATTTTTCCGGAAATGCAACTGCGTTAAAAGGCTCTCCTCCCCCCTCCACCCCCATCCCCCTCCCCACCAAACCCTACCCATTTCCCCCTCCCAAAGGAACAGAGTTCAAAGCAAAATACATTTTTGGGAGAGATTGCTGGTAAGCAAGATTGCACAGCGAGGCAAACATTCAAAATCAAGAAATTTTCGAGAAATGTCGAGATGGGATTTGTGAGAGAGAGAGTTCTTCTGGGCCGGAGGTAACGCGGCATTGACCGTGTTTGGAGTTTGCGGCCGCAAACATTTAAATAGGTAGGTATAGTACAGCTTCATTCTGTATTTACTAGGTAAATACCAGACGATGAGAATTTGCGGGCGTACTCACACACAATTAACTAAACAAATACAGACACATGTATACCCCTTGAAAGGCTGGTAGTTGGTTCGTAAGTGTAGAAGTGCAAATATGTGTGTGTGTGTGTGTGTGTGTGTGTGTGTGTGTGTGTGTGTGTGTGTGTGTGTGTGTGTGTATATGTGTGTGTTTCCAGTTCATAGACAATCACTCATATGTATTGTGTTCGTGTGCAAGCCTGCAAATGCTTCGGCTCAAAAGCGCTCGAACATTTTATTTCATTTGTTTTTATTTATTAATTTATTTATTTATATACTCAAGAGTTCTTACATTCTTGTTCAGCCACCAGCACGTATGGTGTTTCGGGCAGGTCCTTAATCCTAATATTCCCCGGAATACGACCTGCCAAATCGTTTAACAACCAGGTACCTATTTTACTGTTGGGTGAACAGAGGCTACAGTTAAGGATTAGGTTCCAGTCAATCCTCCCCGGCCAGGATACGAACCCAGGCCAAAGCGCTCGCGATTCGCCAGGCGAGTGTTTTACCACTGCGCCACCAGGGAGTGCTCCCCGTGGCGACACACACACACACACACACACACACACACCTATTCACATTAATACATATTCGCCTTGGTACCTCAACATAGTATACAGCATAGACCCGCGACTTGGTATACCAAGTATACCATTGTGTATACTGACTTGGTATACCACAAACTGGAGCATAAACTCTGCATTTCCAAAATTCTTATTCCCCAAAAAACAAAAAATATCGGGAAAAATATTGAAAGCCATTAATGGTTGTTTTCGGCGTAAAGTTACGCCAGATGGCGGGGCGTGGACGACGGTATTATCCAGACCCCGCTTGATCTTGGAGGTGGGGGGGGGGGGGGGAGAGGGAGTGGAGGTCCTTCAAGATCTGATAGTGGAGGTCATCACGACCACACCAGATAATGGAGGTCATCACGACCACATTAGATCAGGGAGGAGGTCATGACGACCACACCAGATAATGGAAGTCATCACGACCACACAAGATAAAGAAGGTCATCACGACCACGCTAGATAAAGGAGGTCATCACCTCCACACCAGATAGGAGGGGGAAGGGGTCATCACGATCACACTGGTGTCGCAAATCTGGGTAACTAATAGGCAAGGGGGGGGGGGGAAATAGAGGGTGCAAATTGTTATTCCGTCTGACTCTGAGCTATTTTACTTCACCGAACCTTAAGCTGTTTAGTTTTACACTAGTTTGTGTCTTACTATGAAGGGGAAGGAGGCATGTTTACAGGTCTTAATTGCAGGCTTAACCCCGCTAGTTACTTTAACGCTCACTTCTAGTTCCTCTAGAAATGGGAGTGCTAGACTATTGAAAACACTAATGGAACGCAGGAGGGACGGGTTTCATACCCAACTACCCATTAAATATGGACATCTGGGAGAGAAGAAGGGATTAAATAGGGAGGATGAAGAGGCTGCTACCACCCATTATTTAATAGACTAATGGAGTGTTTGTCAGTGATATTAACTTATCATCTCCGTTATGGAAACTTCTACATCGTCTCCAGTGATTTTTCGTCACCGACACATCACAAGACTGTTTTAAAGAGGTGTATAACACAAATACATATATAATATTTGGTATATTTATTTTTCTTCATCAAACTACACGTTAACCCGGTGCTTCAATACATTACTGGCTTAATCCTCCTGACTGCTTCCTAGGGTCCAACCCGACCATTTGAGATGAACGGTAGAGCGACGGTCTTCCTTCATGCCGGTCGGCGTTCAATCCCCGACCGTCTAAGTGGTTGGGCACCATTCCTTTCCCTCATCCTATTCTAAACCCTTATCCTCATATCCCATCCAAGTGCTATATAGTCGTAATGGCTTATTAGCGTACACTTGAAGCTAGAAACACTTTGAACTAGCCTCAGGCTAGTTGATTAATTGATGAAAATTAAGCAACCCAAGGAGGTGGCACGGGCATGAATAGCCCGTAAGTGTGTTGACTTCGCAGAGCATCTGACTTGGCCATTAAATATTGACCCAAATGCCTGACCTTTGACCCCACCTGACTGTCGTGCCAAAACTCTCTCTGTCATTGCAAGACTCGGTCATGTATAAAATTTATATATAAAACCCATTTATGACATTACACCATTACGGGCTCACCATAGCCGGTGCTACATGGGCACTTCGTTCTGAGTAGCTAAATCTAAAACAACAACAACAACAGCGTTACACCAGATCTAGGGGCGGGGGGGGGGGGGTCATCAGGATCATACCAGCTATAGGGTTAAGTTGACGTAACATAAATGGATCCTAAGTTTAGTTAGTTTAGTTCAATTATTATGCACCCCATACCTATATTGTGGGCGGTAGTGGAAAAGGTTACACGAATGTAACTGTTTTAATTTTAAAACAGTTAAAACGTGCCTCAGTTTAACTGTTAACTGAGGCACGAATGAGCTGTTATAAGTCGTTCAGACAGTAATTGAAACCTAAGAACGAGAGCTATTACCGTCACTATTCCCGTCACTATTCCCGTCACTATTACCGTCACTATTACCGTCACTATTACCGTCACTATTCCCGTCACTATTCCCGTCACTATTACCGTCACTAGTCTGTCTGGCTGTGCCTCTCATTTGTAGTCATTTGTTTAAGCATTGTATCCACACATAACTCTCATCGAATTAATCCGATATTCTTGTTACACAAGTAATTTGTAAAAAAAATCAGTATGCATAGAGGCTCAGCATTAAAAACAATTATTTTGGGTAGGGGATATTCCTGCGGCGGCCCTAACCCACCAAACACACACCGAAACTACGACGTTGGTACAACGTTCGAGCAAGTTTTAACACCACCTAACCAGTTATAACAACCAATATAGCAAGTTGTAACAACGTTCTAATACGTCATAAACACGTTAAGCCAAGATGTAACAACTTTATTTCAAGTTGTAACAAGCGGAAAATAGAGACAGTTTCGGTTTGTGTTTCCAGGGAAGCCTCTGTTTGGCCTACAAATGGCTGCTGATTTCAATCTTACTTAGGCAGTGAATAAGTGTTTACTTTTATATAAGTATTGCCTTTGCAATGATTCTGTATTTTGTTTTTGCAATGATTTCATACTTCTTTTTTTAAGTAGAATAACTTTAAAAGTGATCAAAAAGTTTTGTGATCATTAGTTGAATCATCAATATCAACGGTTCTCATTGACAAACCTGAATTAGTGATGTAAATGTAAGTAAAATCTTAAAGTAAATTAAAATACTTAAAACATAAACGTACGTGAAACTACCCAGAAGCTTGCATAGAATTAAGGCAAGTAGTAGCTAAGTGCTTGCATACAATCAAGACAGAACTAGCTAAGAGCTTGCATACAATCAAGACAGAACTAGCTAAGAGCTTGCATACAATCAAGATAGAACTAGCTAAGAGCTTGCATACAATCAAGATAGAACTAGCTAAGAGCTTGCATACAATCAAGATAGAACTAGCTAAGAGCTTGCATACAATCAAGATAGAACTAGCTAAGAGCTTGCATACAATCAAGACAGAACTAGCTAAGAGCTTGCATACAATCAAGATAGAACTAGCTAAGAGCTTGCATACAATCAAAACAGAACTAGCTAAGAGTTTGCATACAATCAAGACAGAACTAGCTAAGAGCTTGCATACAATCAAGACAGAACTAGCTAAGAGCTTGCATACAATCAAGATAGAACTAGCTAAGAGCTTGCATACAATCAAGACAGAACTAGTTAAGAGTTTGCATACAATCAAGATAGAACTAGCTAAGAGCTTGCATACAATCAAGACAGAACTAGCTAAGTGCTTGCATACAATCAAGACAGAACTAGCTAAGTGCTTGCATACAATCAAGACAGAACTAGCTAAGAGCTTGCATACAATCAAGACAGAACTAGCTAAGAGTTTGCATACAATCAAGATAGAACTAGCTAAGAGTTTGCATACAATCAAGACAGAACTAGCTAAGAGTTTGTATACAATCAAAACAGAACTAGCTAAGAGTTTGCATACAATCAAGACAGAACTAGCTAAGAGTTTGCATACAATCAAGATAGAACTAGCTAAGAGTTTGCATACAATCAAGACAGAACTAGCTAAGAGTTTGCATACAATCAAAACAGAACTAGCTAAGAGTTTGCATACAATCAAGACAGAACTAGCTAAGAGTTTGCATACAGTCAAAACAGAACTAGTTAAGAGTTTGCATACAATCAAGATAGAACTAGCTAAGAGTTTGCATACAATCAAAACAGAACTAGCTAAGAGCTTGCATACAATCAAAACAGAACTAGCTAAGAGCTTGCATACAATCAAAACAGAACTAGCTAAGAGTTTGCATACAATCAAAACAGAACTAGTTAAGAGCTTGCATACAATCAAAACAGAACTAGCTAAGAGCTTGCATACAATCAAGATAGAACTAGCTAAGAGCTTGCATACAATCAAGACAGAACTAGCTAAGAGCTTGCATACAATCAAGACAGAACTAGCTAAGAGCTTGCATACAATCAAGATAGAACTAGCTAAGAGCTTGCATACAATCAAGACAGAACTAGTTAAGAGCTTGCATACAATCAAGACAGAACTAGCTAAGAGTTTGCATACAATCAAGATAGAACTAGCTAAGAGCTTGCATACAATCAAGACAGAACTAGCTAAGAGTTTGCATACAATCAAAACAGAACTAGTTAAGAGCTTGCATACAATCAAAACAGAACTAGCTAAGAGTTTGCATACAATCAAAACAGAACTAGCTAAGAGCTTGCATACAATCAAAACAGAACTAGCTAAGAGCTTGCATACAATCAAAACAGAACTAGCTAAGAGTTTGCATACAATCAAAACAGAACTAGTTAAGAGCTTGCATACAATCAAAACAGAACTAGCTAAGAGCTTGCATACAATCAAGACAGAACTAGCTAAGAGTTTGCATACAATCAAAACAGAACTAGCTAAGAGCTTGCATACAATCAAAGCAAAACTAGCTAAGAGCTTGCATACAATCAAAACAGAACTAGCTAAGAGCTTGCATACAATCAAAACAGAACTAGCTAAGAGTTTGCATACAATCAAAACAGAACTAGCTAAAAGCTTGCATAAAAGCAAGCCTAACACCAGCCAAAAGCTTAAATATAATCAAAACAAAAAACTAGCCAAAATAAAATCTATATTTCAAATTACTCTATTATATATCAATTTCTATTATATTAACAAAAATTCTTACCGCAATAACATAACAATATAAAATATAAAAAAAGGAAAAGAAAAAATTAACAATAAAGAGTTATAATTGGAGCCGTGTTTGTTGAAGTAATTGTGAATGTATGTGTTGTGTAGACAGTGGCTGCAGAATACACAGCAATATATAAAAAGTCGCTACAGTTGTAGTTTTAATATGTTGGTATATGACCCAGAAAAACAGAGAATGATTTATTTTATGGACGTTCAGAGCAAAGAATATTTTTACCTATCGCGATGTTATAGGGCGGCTGGTTATAGCTGGTTATAGCTAGCCTCGCGTGCATTTATCGCACGCAGACAGTGACCCACGGACGCATACGGACATACACGGACGGTACACGGACGCACACGGACATACACGTACATACACGGACGCATTCGGATATAAGCACCTCTTCCAGCCTCCCTCTCTCCCGCCTTTTTCCCCAAGTCTCTCTCTCCCTATAGATTTAGATAACCGGAATACGGTTATCTAAATCTAAATGTGAACGTTACATAACGGCCTCGTTATGTGAACGAGACCGTTCACATAATCCAACGCCCGAGATTTAAAAAAAAAACGAATATAATAAACATGGTAAATAATCAGTTTGATAAAGGTCTTTAAATTAACCGTATAACAGGTGTGTGATTGATGCACACGTTTCGCAGAGTTCATTATAATAGTTTTATGTTATTCTAGATGGAGTAGCCTTCGATGCCCGGGTCTTGGCGCCTCTTTACCTCCTCCCACCTCCTTCTCCATCTTACTCCACACTATCCCCATCTCCATCCATCCCCATCCTATCCTATCTCCATCCCCACACTACTCCCCTCTCTCCTAATGTCTCCTTCTCGCACCTCTTCCCCTTCTCTTTCCTTATAACCTTCAAGGTGCCGCAATACACCGAGACTAACGAGCATTATGCTCGCACCAACAGTTGGAGTGTTTGACAGGGGGGGAGGACTAGAGTCTCAGCCTGTCCCCTCTTCCCCAGAGAATAATCCCCCACTCTCTAAAAGCCTCAGTCCTGCATGTACTCGTTTGAGCATTTGCACCGAAGTTGGTGTTATATACTAATACAAACGTATATATGTTATGCATGTATGCCATTGACGAATGTCAGAGTCCATCTGTATAAGAGTGTCTGTGTGTCAATGGTTCGAGGGCAGACGCTTATGGCTAGTCTCACCAAACGAGTTGCACGGAGAATGTTTTGGAGTTGCCAGACATCAAGAGAGATCAACGTGCCACGGCGCATTCTGACCCCCACGACTTTCAGGCACTGTCGTGCCAGCTAAATCTAGCTGAATATGTTGAAGCAAACATGAAAAAAAAAAAAATCCTACCAGCAATGTACCACAATATTCTTTGATTTGGGGAAAATTAACATACATTTTCTACTAATCATACTTTGTCCGTAGCACCATAAAACACGCACCTTCAATACACCTCCCCTACATCCAGTCCTTGCACCCATCACTCTTCCGAAGATTCGAAGTTTCTGTCATTAATTGTAAATATATACCGACACTTGCTCTAGTGTTATTTGTAGTATTGTTGGTGAGAGTGAGAGGGATTATATATATATATATATATATATATATATATATATATATATATATATATATATATATATATATATATATATATATATATATATATATATATATATCTAATGAACGACATAATTTATGTCTACATACGTACATGTAGATATGCAACATAACACACATGTATGTATGCAACATATACATACAGCCAAATCGACGCAACACATACACATTCCACTTATACACTCGGCACTCCTTGTCAATTAGAATTAATTGATATTAACGGCGGTGGCGATCTAGCAATTCAAAATAAAACTCATTTGCAATAAATATTTTAAAGAGGGATTTAAAATTCGCTCTCACCTTCGGACGAATATTATTGGAACGCTTGTTAAAATTTATGACTGGTGTTCTGTTATATTTTGCTCCCGAAATATATTTCTTTTCGATATTTTTCAGGGAGAGAAGTGGGAAAAAAGATAAAAAGATATATACTGCTAGAAGACACAAAATGATTGAAGTGAGAGAGAGAGAGAGAGAGAGAGAGAGAGAGAGAGAGAGAGAGAGAGAGAGAGAGAGAGAGAGAGAGAGAGAGAGAGAGAGAGAGAGAGAGAGAGAGAGAGAGAGAAAGTGAAAGAAAAGTGTGTTTATGTATGTGTGTGTGTGTATCCTTCGTGGCGCAGTGGTAACACATTCGCCCCGCGCCTTGCGAGCAATTTGTTTAAGTTCGAGTCCTGGCCAGGGAGGATTGTTTGGGTGCCACTCCTTAACGATTTCCCTCTGTTGACCCAGCAGTAATTGAGTACCTGGTTGGTAATCAACTGGCGGTGGAGTTCCAGGGAAATCTAGTGGGTAACTCTTATCATGAGCTATGGTAAAACTCATGTTTTTTCCTCATGTCAACTCATTTCTTTTCCTCATTTTGGGAATGAGGTTAACCTCTCATCCAGTTAATAGAAGTTAGAAGTCGTCTATTCCTGTACTCACCTGTGTAAAAATACAGAGAGCCAGTTGATTAGCGGTGGAACTGCTAATCTGTTTTTTCTAATCTGTATTTTTTGTTTGACAAAATCTATTATTTCTTGACAAGTATAAATTGCAACGTGATGAACAGAGTTATTTTTGTCATTATTTTCTGACGACGGGAAGTTGACGAGTAAAATCAGGACACGCGGCCTATAAGAGGCTTCATGAAGACTTAAGAGTTACAGAAAGTCTCACAAAAGGCTACCGGATTACAGCTAAATAAATGCAAGCTCATTAGGATGGGAACGGTAACTAGGGGTTTCCTGAGGAACATTATGTGACGAAAATTAGGAATTTGCCATGATCAGTGAGAGAAAACCATCTAGTGACAGACTTTACACAATCTATCTCCAGATAGACACAATCACGTCAGTAGCATAGACTGAACTGGAGAGTTATGTGGGCCTGACCGGGCGGGCCGCTCCAAGCAATGTGGGCCTGAGCGCTGCAACAGCCTGGACCAAACTCTCACAAGTCAAGCCTGGCCTGAGGGCCGGACCGGGCTTGGGGAGTAGAAGAGCTCCCAGAACTCCATCAACCAGGTATCAACCAGGAGAACACCAGGATGGCTATTTACACCCTAGACAAGGATGCTCTGAGAACGCGATACAAGACCCTTCCATTCCCCCCATTTCCCCTTAAATTAAAACTTGACCCAGAATTTTATGGAGTGAGCTACGAAGATAGCATGAAGGAGAACATAATGTTTCTTAATGCAAAAAAATGGGGTATAAGTTATTCGACAGAATGTAGGAATATCAATACAAATAACTTTTATGATAATCACTAAAGCAGGGAAAAGAACAGCATGAAAGCTAAACATGCAAGCAAAATTGACGCGACGAAGTATTTCGTCGTTTTTAGGTCATTAACTACGTGGAATAAACAGGAAGGCAAAACAAAAATAATCGAGTTTACCTCCATCCATAATAATGGGCCAACCACTTGGGCTGGACGGTAGAGCGACGGTCTCGCTTCATGCAGGTCGGCGTTCAATCCCCGACCGTCCAAGTGGTTGGTCACCATTCCTTCCCCCCGTCCCATCCCAAATCCTTATCCTGACCCCTTCCCAATGCTATATAGTCGTAATGGCTTGGCGCTTTCCCCCTGATAGTTCCTTTCCTTCCATCCATAATGTTAAAAGCAGAACAACCAATGAAGCGAGAAGGAAGCGAGATTCATGGTACAAGGCGACCCATAATTAGAAAGGAGGGGATTCGAGAGCTGAATCTCGATCCTGAATAACTAAACATAAACACACACACAGGCGGCGCCCTGGAGCTAGATCTCACTATCCGCATAAACACACACACAGGCGGCGCCCTGGAGCTAGATCTCACTATCCGCATAAACACACACACAGGCGGCGCCCTGGAGCTAGATCTCACTATCCGCATAAACACACACACAGGCGGCGCCCTAGAGCTAGATCTCACTATCCGCATAAACACACACACAGGCGGCGCCCTGGAGCTAGATCTCACTATCCGCATAAACACACACACAGGCGGCGCCCTGGAGCTAGATCTCACTATCCGCATAAACACACACACAGGCGGCGCCCTGGAGCTAGATCTCACTATCCGCATAAACACACACACACAGGCGGCGCCCTGGAGCTAGATCTCACTATCCGCATAAACACACACACAGGCGGCGCCCTGGAGCTAGATCTCACTATCCGCATAAACACACACATGTGAACACCAGCAAGCACAGAGCAACGGAAACAGATACGAACACCAATATGAACACCCACCAACAGATACAAACACGCACACATAAGCAAACACACACACCAACAGACACAAATAGACAGGTCACAGGCACGCACATATACACACACATATTCATTCAGTTCAAAAGAGCCAATTCACAGAAAAGTTTGTAAGGCAAATACTCGTTGAAATCTCGACCAAATTTTTCATGATGGTAAATAGAAAGTCTCTTTATTATTCACCTCGCCTGGGCTCCATTTTGAGGTGCAGCCGCCGAGGATTTTAGAACAGTTTATACGCCCAAATGACCAGCGGTACACGAACAGACAAAAAGTTAAAAAAATGGAAATAAAACATTGTGACTAGGTTTTACCTACATTTAGGAGAGAGAGAGAGAGAGAGAGAGAGAGATAAAGAGATTACGTGCAGTATTACTTCAGCAAAAGTGCTGCTACTTTTAAATCTACTTATCTAATTATAAATTCATTGTCTCTCTAGTGCTAATCTAGTGTCTTAAGTTACTGCTTGAACTAATACAGAATTTGAAGAGAATGGGGGTGTAAGGCTGATCCTCGAGGAACCTGAACCTTACACTCGGCTACTCTGGGTATTCTCAGTTAAACACTACTCAAGGAGGAGTTTAGGAAGCGTGTGTTGACAATGAATGAACTTGACCAGGATCTTTGTGAAACTAGATGTAGTACATTAAGGGAGATTTGCTCAGCTC